GTTATGGCAACTAGAAAGATTACAAATCCTTTTAAATTATGTTCATAAATGTCTTCCTAGTGGAATTTTTATTTATCTTATCCGTAGAATGAGCCTTCCACACAGCGTAGAAACGAAAAAATTTTCTTTCAAGCAAATTCTACTATAAGTAAACTTCTGGATTATGTCAATATTACGTATTCTAAGACTTTTAGAATTAGTTCAAAGCGTAAAATCTGCATTACATTATTTTGTAGAATCTGAAATAGTATGTTGTGAAATAGTAGAGTTACTAGTTTAACGTGGAAAGTGATCTCTATTATGTCATTTCTCGTGGAAGATGAAATCTACTTTTCGTAGAACACAATTATAAATGTTAATTTAATATTTTTTTCAAAATAAAACAAATATCAGTTTGTATATAAAGACAATTCACCACTTGTGCCTATTTTTAATATTTTTTTTTATTCATAAAATTATTTATTTTTTAAGTTTTAGAAATAGAAAGGGTAAATTTTATATTGAATTTTTTTTTTGTTTCACTGACATAAATTTGTATATTAGTGTTTGATAGTTTATATTTTGTATATTTTGATATTTGATAATAACTGCGAATTTTTTAGTTATCAAGCAATTTTATAGGGTTTGAGTTTTGTGGTTTAGGGTTTGGTAGACTGACAATAAAGTCTACTTCACTGTACAAGTATTTTTTAATCTATTTGAATTTAAAAATATTTATTTTAAAATTAAATTGATTTCTTTATGAATTAAAATATGAAATCGTATAATATAATATTAAAAATAAATAACTAATTAAATAAATCATATATTAAAATTATTAAAACAATAAAGAATAAACAATAATTATGACATACTCATAGTAGATTTCCAAGTAAATTTCCAAAAATTCTAGTGAGTACACTTACAATAAGGTCTACTCCAAAATCTAATTTCGTAGACTTAACAAAAAGTCTACACGATCGAAACTTTTAACCTAGTTACAATTTATGTCTCCCTATATAAATGAAATTTACACAATATCTTTCTAAAATGGCTGCACAAGTTTCTGAAAACTCTCCCATTCTCTCTAAAACTCTTTATTTTCTCTCTAAATTCTTTGAATGTGAAGATTCACTTTTGTTTAGTTTGTTAATATTTTTATCAAATCTTTTTCACAATATTATCTTGTATTTGTAGGTTCATTCATAGTTATCACATTCCACTCCAAATATGTAAGTCTTAGATCTACAAATTGAAAATGTGTGTTTTATGTTTATATTCAAATAAATTTATAAATGCAAACTCTATGCATTTACTTTGCTAGTAGTTCATCTTATAATTTCTACTTTTGAAGTTTTTTAAGATTTAAAATTATTTTTAACATTTTTCACATGTATATAGTTTTCAGATCTGAAAATTATCTATTATAGTAGACTTCTATAACATAGTGTAATGAAGTCTACAAAAAAAAACTACAAAAATAGAGGTGACTTTTAAATTTAAAGTTATTTTCATGTTTTAATGTACATATTTTTTCAGATCTAAAATTTTTGAGATTGAGTAGACTACAAATGAAGTCTACTAACCTTAAATTTTAAGTAGACTTCATTAGAAGTCTATCCAAATATTATTTTAATTTTTTCATAATTTTATCTTATTTTTCAGGTATTCTCTTCCAAACTTTTCAAATTATATTCCCAAAATGTAAAATTTACATGTATTCATTTTAAATCTGTATTTTTTTGTTTATATTTTGTAATTGTACATTTTTATATCTGAAAAGATTTAGGTAGTGTAGACTTTAGACTTTTAATGATTTAAATATGTTTATCTTATGTTTTCTCATATTTTTATCTTATTTTGCAGTTATTTTTTTCCAAGACTTTATATGAGACATCAAGATTGTCAATAATCAAATACTCTATATTTTTAAATAAATTGCTTTGTAATAATTTATCTTTACAAAATATTCATTTGTAAATAATTATTCTGATTCATAATCTATTGTTATTGTATTCATTTTTTAATTATGTTGCATTTATATAATATTAATAATTTTTGTTAGCAATCAATTTTTCAAAAAATACTTTAATCAACCAAACAGTTAAAACCACCATGAGCTAAAACAACAAGTAATGCATACAATATTGAATGTGTTTAAGTTATGTAATCTGCAGACTTGTTTTGTAGCAATTTTAGAGATTTTAAACACAAAAGAAACTAATAATACAGATTAATAAGAGAGTAGACTTCAGTGTTTGTCTACTTTTCCACATGTGGACTAATAAAGAAGTCTGCATTTGTTGTAGACATTTAAAAAAGTCTACATTGCCGAAATCAGATTAATTTAACACTATATAATAATACGGAAGAAGCATACAAATTAAACATAAGTTCATCACATAACACAACATAACAGAAGTACAACACATACCACTGACTCAATTATTACAGAAGTAGACGTTCAAGGATGTTCATGTCCAGATCATAATCTTCTTGTGTCATTTGAAGAAATTCACTATGTGTACAACCATCATGCACAACAAACATTCTCCTTCCTTTCTGATTATCAGCCACGAACTTCCACGTTGAGCCTCTCATCATCCATTCTCCATAAACAACATATATGTGAACCAGTCCCTCAAAAACAAAAATGGTATACCAAATTAGCAAAGAAATATTTCATGTTAAATAAAATTACAGGACTAGACGTTCTAGGAAGTCTACATTTATTAGCTAACTACATAGTCTAACCAAAAATTTGGTAGTTCAATAATTATAATATATTATTTTATGAAAATCATTCAAGACTATGAGGATTACCTAAAACACACTGGGAAATAATAAAATCTTGAAAAACCTTGATGAATTATATACACAAACTAACTTTTAATAGAAATCATAAAATAGACTTCATTGTTAGCCTACGAAGAGGTAGACGTACGTATTAATCTACATATGTTGACTGTAATATAAGTCTACAATTTGTGTTAGTTTTTGCAATTACAAAATTTACGGGTTATTTTCAAAGTGTATACGCGTAGAGTTAATATTCAGTCTACACAATAAAAAAAATTTAGTTTTACAATTGACCCATATTCACCAAAATTTTGACTTTCAATAGTAGAGTTCATATACAGTCTACATATATAAAGTGGATTTAGTTTACAGTCTACGCTTTAATTTGTTTTGAAAGAAGTTAGTTTTGCAATTGACCATGTTTGAAAGTAGACATAAATAACCGTCTACAAAAATGTAGACTACATATGAAGTATACTCTTAAATCCGACAGGTTAGTTTTGTGTTTAACTAAAATAAAATAGTAGACTTCCGATCCAGTCTACATTTTTTTTAGCTTAGTAGACTGCATATGAAGCCTACACTTTAGTTAATTGCTGGTCAATATTTTAACGATTTAGTCAAACACAAAACTAACCTACTAAAGAAAGTCAAAATTTGGTCAAATGCAAAAATGGCCCTTTTGTAGACATTCAGAGAGTAGTCTACAAAATGTAGATTTCCGTAGAAGTCTACTATTTGAAGTCAAATTTCGTTCAATTGTAAAACTAACATCTTTGATGTAAACTTATGATGAAGTCTACCGAAATAATTTTTTTGTTATCAAAGGTAAATTTGTAGACCTATATTGAAGTCTAATTTGCATGAAAAAATATTCTGGTCAATTGGAAAACTAACATATGCGTTGACAAGTAGACTGTATCGTAGGTCTACAAATACTCGTAGACATACAAAATAGTCTACTATCACGACACATCTAAAAATTACGAAATCTATGTAAATAGTTACATTTTCCTGTGTAAAGCTCGTTTCCTGGCTTCTCTACCGTGAAACCTCCAAATATGAAGAAAAAGAAGCACCTTAGACGGATTTTAATAATTAATCACGAAAATATGAAATTTGTGTTTGTTAAAATGAAAGTTATGAAGTTTTATAGGTGAAATTGGAGAAGAAATGAGAGGAGAAGAAGATTTGTTGGTGTAGAATGAACAAAAGATAGATAAGAATTGAATTCATGAGCATTAAGAGCTCAATTTTGATTGTTAATGGTGGTTGAAAATATTGATGATGATGGTATTCTTGTAAATAAGAATAAATAGATAGGGTGTTTTGGGTTTTTAGACAATTTCGAAAATTAGAAAGAAAAAAAATGAGTTTTAATGGTACATGTGTAAATAGTTGAGAAAAGTAGGGAGAATTAGGGTAGTTTAAGGCAAAAAAAAATTGTTGAGAAAAAAAAAGTGTTGGTTCTAAGTTTGACCAAGATTTGTAGGTTAGTTTAGCAAAACACCCATAAATATTTGTTTACTTCTTTAAAACTAAGGAAAAATGTGATTAATATACACATAAAAAGTGATATTAAAAATATGGTAGTTTAAGAAATATTCTCAAAAAAAAATATATTTGGCTATAAAAGGAAAAGAGGAGAATTAGGAAGATTCATTCACACACATGAGCAATTTAATACAAAATTAAGGTTTTCACAGTTCATCTTGTTCCCTTGTCGATAGATCAGCTGTTCATAGAAACTCGATCCTTTTTTGTAACCAAATATATTTATAAACGCCATTCAAATAACTTACTATTGAATTTGTGCTACATCATGTATTCATGTACGTGTAGAATTTGGATTAACCAATTGGTTCCAAAGAACGTGTCCTCCTGACTCTGTGTGACGGAATAAGCAGACTGGGAATAGGTCAATAGGGTCAAAGTTCAACGTTGTCCAAGTCCTTTACGCTGCCTAATAATGAGCAAGTGACACTTCTTCCTGTTGCTTTCGTCATTTCCTCATTACATCTATTTTAATGTTCAACCAAATCCAAAATATACTAGTAAAGTTAATAAATTGACTCGTTCCCTCTTTTTTTTTGTGGTCCTTCACAATACTTTATTTTAAAAATATAGAAGAAAAGAAACTTTTAGTGGGTCATATGTAAATTCCACGCATATTCCTATGTAATTTCTATATAATAGATACCTTTGGACTTGCAATTGTCACCAGGTTACATCTCTTCTCATTCTCTCTCTTTAAAAATCTATTAGAAATTTCTGAAGCTTTTCAATAGTTTTCGTCAGCTATGACCGCCCAGGTACACCCTTTCTTTCATATATATTCGCTCCTGAAATAATTAAAATATAATTTACTGATGTCTGATTGATCGTTATTCATACTTATGTTATTACAATTTGCAAAACTGATCTCTGGTTTCAAATGACAGAAATCAGTGTTGCAATTGAGTGTTCACGAGGAAAGAATCAGGAAGAGAGTGTGGGCGACCGTGTCTAAGTTTTCAGGTATTTTTTTTAAAAGAAAACGTCATTATTTACTTTATGATTATCACTTTTTAAAGTTGGCGAAATTAACATTTTTCATTATTTGCTAAAAATGTAGGCGTAACATCGATAGCAATGGATGACAAAACGGGGAAAATGACATTAGTTGGTGAAATTGATGTACCAAGAATCGTGAAGAAGCTAAGGAAGATATGTAATGCAGAGCTCGTTACGGTTGAAGTTGTTAAACCACCTGAGAAAAAGCCTGAACCGGAGAAACTGACTCCAACTAAACCGGCCGAAATTGTTGCCTTTCCAATTACGCAGTTTCACCACCCGTACCAATATCATTATTCCTCTGCAAATTCTTACTATCAACCATACGAGAATTACAGAGCTGTGGAGGAACCAAACACTTGTGTGATTATGTAATTTTCGAGATTGCTTTCAGATAGCTTTAGTTATGGTCTATGGAACACTTAATTCAGATGGATGAGTGTCTTTTTGGATTACTGTAAGGGAGAGAGATGTTTCCACGGCAGGGGTAATGGCCTCCGCACTAGGGTTTCAGCAAGGGAGAGAGAATTTTCAAGAGAAAGATTATGTGAATTTATTTGTAACTCAGTTTTAATATATAAACCAAACACTAATGGGTAAATCAATTTTATTTGTTAAATGACTTTAATATAAATATTATATATTTTAAGAAATTATTATATTTGTGATTTAAAAAAAATTATGACATAGTCACTTGTTTTACAAACTTATTTTGTGAGTAAATAAGTTACAAATTTTTTTGTGAAAACCCATGGCTTATTTACACGAATGTGTCATGGCAAACTCATGGTCGTAAAACCTAGTATTTGTCACAATTAAAAAGGGTTACGAATGTATAGCCACATTATTAATTTAGTAACTTTTTGTAACTAATCTTTCATATAACCACAAAATAAATTATGACTATAACTAATTATTTTATAAGTGATTTACCCTGATTTTGAAAGTGTAGTCAAAAATCCAGTTGAATATTAATAGATGTCATATGCATAGTACTAGGTGGCTTCATGCACCATGTGCAGAAATAAAAGTTTTTAAAACAAATTTATATTTAAAAATAAAATTTAATTAATTTTTAAATTTATTATTTTATTATGTTATTAATTTTACATCAATTATATGTAAAACTAAGAGAAAATAAACTGTTTTATTTAAATATATCACAGTTCTCTCGAATATAATTCTTTTAGGTTTTTTCACAAAAATAGATCTTAAAACTAAAATGAACAAAACATCATTTTTTATTTTAAAAATTTCAATTTTTTTTTTAAAAAAAATTTGTAATCCTATCCCCAAAACCCCACTCCTCAACTTTAAATAAAAAGGTTTACGATTAGTTAATCCAAAGAATATAAGTGTATATTTACTTATTTTTGATAAAACATTTAAGTCTATCTTGGTCATTTTTATTTTAAGGTCTATATTTGTGATTAAAATTTTTTTTAGGTCTATCTTAAAAAAAATTCTTAAATTTATATTTAATAATATATATGTATCTTTTATCTTTTGGTTAAATTATATTAAATAAGATTCTATACTATTAAGAGAAAATTTTGTTAGATATATAATTATCAAAATGTAAAACTAAATAATATTTCTAAAATACATAGATGTTATAAATAAAGCTAATAGTATTGGGATTATAAATTTTTAATTTAAAAAAAACTGCATAAAATTTTGAAAAAAAAATTGTTAATAAAAAATATATAATTATAAAATTACACTTAAAATATTTCAATATTTGTAATATTATTATATTTATATTTCTACTATTATATTATTTATTATCTTAATGATAATTTATGAGTTCTTTTTCTTATCACTTTTTTAATACAAATTTTTGTTTAATCAAACATTAACATTAATATAAAAACATTTTTGTTTATTTTAAATTATATTTAAGAATATGCATGTATATATTTAAAATTATAATCTTAGATAATCTTTTACCTATTTATTTTAATTAAATATATTAAATAAATTTCTAGAAAATTTTATAATTATCAAAAATTAAAATTAGACAATATTTATTAAATTTTTAAATATAAAGAAATTAATAGTTTTAGAATTAAATTTTAATAATTTCAAAAAATGTATACATTTTTGAAATTTTTGTAATAAAATTGTATAGTTTTAAAATATATAATTAAATGATATTTTCGAAAATTTTAATGCCATATTGGTATATATTTATTTTAATGATGATTTATTAGTTATTACCATATTTTAAAAATATTTCCAAAAATATGAGTCGACATTAAATGTAATATATGAATTGTTACCATATTATATAAAGTTTTCCAAAAATATATATTAACATTAAATGCAATTGTCCATGTCATATTTAATCATATGTCATGTCATCAATTCTAGTAGACATGTCACCATTTTTTTGTGAAACCGATTCTAGAGAGGACATGTGGCAAAATCACTTCACAAATAATGTATAGGGCATATTCCAGTACTAGACCTGTCATCACTTTGGGACATATTGCAAAGATGACATCTAAATGATTTAAGACCCAAAGCATGGCCGGGTTTTCCAAGAGAACTGGTGGTGATATCATCTCTACAAGGAAGATTTAAGAATCTCAAGATTACACACATCCCGAGTGCAAAACCGGACATCAAACTTTTTAGTCAAGATTACACTGGCTTGAAATCTAGTTTTTGTTAGTTGTTCTATTCATGTTTAAATTCTTATATCACCTCTAGTCTGGGTGATAGAATAGTTTTTTGATATAAAAATAAAATTAGATTTCATGTGCTATTTAGTAGCTTCTTTTTTCGTATAGCAATCTCTATTAATTACTAACATTTAATTTTTTTGAAAATGAAAGAAAAAAAACACCTTAGTAGTATAACATATTTGTAAAAGAACCACATCTTCTATGGGAAAAAGCACAAAACTTAAAAATGGTATTCAGGTACATTTTAAACCTGAAAACTATTTAGCCATCATATTTAACAACAAAATTGAATATTGTATCACACAAATATTTTATTTAAGTTACTTGTTTACCACGTCAAAACTATGGTCTGTAATATTAAGTTAGTAAAAATGATGAGGATTAACTTATTTAAAATATTATTTTAACTAATACAACTAAATAAAAATATAATTAATATAAAAATAATATAATATTTAAAATTTAATGGTGACAGTTTTCTGACATTAATTAAACCATCAACGGTGTTGATTAGCCTCTGTTGATAGTGATGATTTTTGACATATCATCATTAGTGGTGACAGTTTCCAACATATCTTGGATGATAGAGGCGTTTACCCACATATTTTCGGTGATAATGATGGTTTTCATATATATCATTATTGGCGGTGATAATTTACAGATATATCGCCCTGAGAGTTATGGTTTGCCCGTATATCACCGATGATAGAGTAGGTTTCCTTGCATATCGTCAATGACGGTGTTCGTTTCCATTCTTTTAAATTAGCTACTTTTATGTTAATTATACTTATTTTAAGTTATTTTTTATTAGTTAAAATAATAATAAAAGTATTTTTCAGTTAAAAATAATAATAAATTATAGGTATCAGTTAAAATAATAAAAAAATATAAAAGTATTTTTATCAGTTAAAAATAATAATAAATTATAGGTATCAGTTAAAAGAATAATAAAATTATTTTTAAAAAAATAACTGACACATCATATTTTTTACTTCCATATGGACATGGCTGGTCTTTTTTTCTACGTAGTGAAAAGATAAGTTAGATTTGAGGAAATGGTGATGCAAGTTTAAGTTTTATGGTTAAATATGTTACTTAAATAATTTAATGATTCAAAGTGTAATTAACTGCTACTTTAACGGTTTTAATGCAATTTCCCCCATTTGAATTGACCTCTTGTTGGAAGCTGTAGATGATCAAAATTTGAATAAGTAAAGCTTGTTTTATGGATTGAATAAGTAGAAGATTTAGAGTTTGTTTCATATTTTTGTGTCTTGATGTTGTAAAACTTCTTTATAAAACTCGCAAACTATTTTCATTTATAATAGGAAGACAAGCTATTTCCCCACGAGAAGTATCTTATAGCACCATATGTCTCCCAAACTATTACCTCATTCCAGATGTCCCTGAAATAAAAATTCAAAACCTATTTCCTCACAAAATTTAAGTTTAAGATTTATTTCTCCATAGATTAAAAGTTTGAAATCCCTAACCCCAGAAAATTAAATTATTAGGTTTATAATTTCTAATAATAAACCAAAACCATCAAAAATTTAATAATAACCAAAAGTAAACCAAATTCAAAATTAAACCCGCCCCAATTAAAAAAAAACAGACTACACAAAAACAAAACAAAACAAAACAAAACTAACGCTTCTGGTTTGTCCGAAAAAAATACAACGGTTCTGGTCTTTTTATTCCTCCGTCAATCTGCTACCATGGATGAATTCAAAATCCCAGAAATTTTTGAAGCCATAGTAGACATATATAGTAAAAGAAATAAAAAAAAAAAAAAAAAACCCACGAAGTGTCTTTCTTTTTCTTTACTTCTGCGTGAGACTTGTCTTCTATCCAAAGATGTTCTTGACTAAATATCATTAAACTTGAGACACTGATGACAGTTTTCTCCAATTAAGATATTTGATTTATTCAGTAAAATTCAAAACATAAGATATATTTTTCTCTTGTCTAAGATCTGAATTTGAATGGGGTTCAAGGAGAAGACATAAAGAAACAATGTGTTAATTGTAATAGAGGTGGTGAAGCCGTTGAATCAAAACTTGTAAGCCATTGAACTGTCTCTCTATCTCTCTCTTGAAGAACATGACTGTGTTGATGGTGACGAAATTGAGCAAACACATCCAAAACAATGAGAGAAGAAGAAGAAATTAACTAATGGAAGCAATACATATGTAAATGAAGGCGTGATTTGGTTAGGATTAGGTGAAGAAGAATTTGGCTAAAATCTGGGGAAATAAGGGGGTGGGGAAGAGGATGATAGTCGGGTCACTTTTTGTGTTTGGGTTTAATTTAATTAAGTCTCGGTTCTATTTTTTTTGGTTTTTTTGTTTGGTTTTGCGATTATACCGAAAATTGTCTTAACCAATATCAAATTGAGTTTCGTGGGGAAATAGATTTCAAACTTTTATTTCGGAGACATCTAGAACGAGATCATAGTTTGGGAGACATATAGTGCTATACAAAACTTTTTATCGGGAAATAGCTCGTCTTCCCTTTATAATAAGGGAATTATTCAATTCAATTCTTTTTCCTATACTTGTATCAGTGCACAACATAATGTGAATGTATGTGTGAGGGAAAACATGACATAAAAATGAAAGATGCTGGAAGCTTTACAACACCTGATGTTTCCATGTTTGAGGAAGATTATGATTAGTGGAGTCTGATCATGGAGAACCTTATCCGATCTTCAGAATATTTGAGTGTCATTGATCCAGGATTTGAAGATCTAAGGATAATCAAAGCTCCCAACCCTGATCAACAACAATCTCTCAACGAAGCAAACTCAGAGACCTCAAGGCAAAGAATCGACAAAACCACGTTGAATAAAATAACTTAAAATGAGACCGCCAAACTATTAGAAACAATGAAAGTTAAGCACCAATT